TCTCCTTAAGCCTCCCCTAAGTCCTGCCCCTGCCTGCCCTGTCCTAGAGATTCTGCCTCACCTTGCATTAAGGAAATCAGAGCAACAGCCTGGTGTGCCTTTATCTTCCCACTCCTAAGGGCAGACCAGTAGGTCTCCCAGGCTCTCTGCTTCCTCAGCCCCATGCTGAGCAGCAAGCATCCTGCTTCCTGTCAGAGCCCTACTCCTTAGTTAATCTCTGACAGAAAAGGAAAAATTTTCCTCCATCTTCCATCACCACAGTCTCCATTCATAGATCATTTCCAGCTGCAAAAGTCTCCAGTGGCTCAAGTCTTAAAATCTTAAACACATGCACACCACTGGCCCAATTCCCCTATTCTATCACTGGCCTCATTCTGCACTTAAAACACATGCACACCACTGGCCCAATTCCCCTATTCTATCACTGCCCTCATTCTGCAGATCCCACTCTCAGTATTGGTAGGGGAAGGTACAGCTCTGAAGCTGTCTCACTCTCATTTTCTCCCCTCCTAAGGAGGCCTCCACACCCAGCCTTATCTACATGCCTTTGGGGGCTGGTCCAGGGGCCACTTCAGTAATCTTATCTTCCACATCATCTCCACAGTCCTCAAACCCCTAAGTAGTCCCATCCTTTGAAACACCATCTTCAACTTCTCCAAACTTGAGAGTGTCCAGAGCTCTGCACTCAGCCCTCTCTTTTATGTTCCCTATAGTGCTCCCACCCCCAATCAGTCCACAGCTCTAAATACTAAATAAATACACAGGGTGGAGGCTGGTCCAGCTGTATGCCTCCGGGCTACCCAGCAGGGCGCATTTCCTTCTCTGTCTAGTGGGTATGTCCTCATGGCACATAATGATCATCTTCAATGCTTCATCTCCCCTCACAGGCCTACTGAGAAGAAGCACCCTACCAGAGTGTTTATCAAAATTCCTGGACTCATTCAGCCAGAGCAGCACCTCATGCAGCCCTAGGGCCTGGCCCAGCACAACACTCCCTGCCATGGCAGCATCCCCACAGGTCAAGGTGCCTTTAACACCTGCACCTCCAGCTGGATTATGACAGGAACTTCTAATGTGCCCCTTGCTGATCCTATAGTCTCTTCTCGCCACTGGCTTCTTCTCCAAAGTCAGCCTCTAAAGCAATGGAAAGAAATATATAGACGTTTTGTGACTCGATTTTCCAAACCAGAAAACTGGAAAACTCCTAATCTAATAATATAATGATTCTTGTGATAAGAATCTCTGATAAACTGAATTCACAGAGTGACCAACATAACAGAATCTTCCTTATCACTCAGGACCGAGTCCCCCAAATCACTGTGCCAGGCCGTCTGATCTAGATAATTCTCATAGTAGATCCCAAACACCAGGGACCAGCAAGTGAGGACTGTGCTTAGAGCTGACAAGGCAATGACGGTACTTAATAAGTTTTGGTTTTTCTGTCTACAAGGGACAAAATAAGGAATCATGGGGAAGAGAAATTCAATTTATATGTTTTCAGGGGCTCTTAAAATAGTTCCATAGATTGGAAAACAGAAATATTTCTAGCAGCAGATGTTGTGATTTACTTCCTATGTGCTAGAATGTATGTATTTGTATATTTAGTAAAAAGTAGTATCAGCACTTGGGATACAAAGACATATGTAAGTACTGCTGGAGGTTACAAAATAAAGTTAGTGCAATGTTAATCACTTCCCCAAATATTCTCTGAGAAACGTTTGGATCCTTTTACCAGAACACACACACATATTCTTTCCATGAACATAATGGGATTGTTCTACACACAGTGTTCTGTAGTTTGCTTTTGCACTTAATAATATATTTTGGAGATACCTCTACTGTGTACATGCTAAGTTCTTATAAGCAATCAACATAGTATCCTCAGATGCAGACATTATCTATTGTAATTACTTAATCCCAAATAATAACAGGGTCCCAGGTTTTAGTCACTAGAAATAATGAGATATAAAGCCATGCTTGGATATGCATGTGTGTATGTGGTGCATGTATACTGTGTTGGTTTTGTGAATCTACTTATCAGATAAATCTCTAAAAAGATAATTAAGACAAAGGTGAATGTGTTTCATACTTTGGAAACAGTCAAGTCTTCTGCCAAGGCTGTTCCAATTCATACCCCTGACCCCACAGTTCACAGCATCCTCTCTTCACACTGCTCACACTGATGTGTATGAGTGGTTGCCTGTATGTATGTATGTACGGCATCTGTGTGCCTGGTTCCCACAGAAACCAGAGAGGAGTGCATTGGATCCCCTGAAACTGGAGTTACAGATAGTTGTGTGCTGCCATATGGGTACTGAGCATTGAACTCAGATTCTCCAGAAGAGCAGCAAGTCCTCTTAACTGCTGAGTCGTCTCTCCAGCTCCAACTTTCTTTTATCTCTTTTAAGGAAGAAATTGAGATTCTTCTTCCATGTGTGAAGTGTGTGTGTGTGTGTGTGTGTGTGTGTGTGTGTGTGTGTAATGAGTATACCCCTTTTCACCTTTGTATTCCTGGTTATACCTTTGTCCACTTGTATCTGTTTATAATGGAGCCTGCAAATTAAGGGTCAGACCAAGATCATATAAGACTGCCAACTCTTTCTGATACACCACTTTTTACTTTCTATCTGGAATTATTTCCAAAGATGAACATTTTTGAGATTCATTTTGATTTTTGGATAGCTAAATTTATCCATCTCTTTATGATTTCTGGGTTTTATTCTATTTAGGGAATCTCTCACCACTCAAAGAACACACATACATTCATTATGAGGAAATTTTTTTAAATGAAAATTTTAAGAAAGTGAGAACTGATCTGCAATCAAAACAAATCTACTCAGCTGCTCCCACTGGAGCTCCCAACCCTGGCTTAGAGCTCACACAGACAAGAGCTCACCTAAGATGAAGGGTGGGGGGCAGTCTGTGTGTGTCTGTGGGTACAACTATGTGTACACATGTGTGTATATATGTTCTTATCTGGTTGTAGGTAGTGTTCAACTGTTGTAGAAAAAGGAACTTTGCTTAAATCTCAGGGGCTGGAGAGATGGCTCAGCGGTCAAAAGCACTGGCAGTTCTTGCAGAGGACCCCAGTTTTGTTCCTACCACCTACATGATAGCTAACAACTGTCCATAACTCAATTCCAAGGAATCTAGCGCCCTCTCCTCACCTACCCGGGCACTGCATGCCTGTGGTGCACATACATACAGTCAAACACATAAAATAATAAACTAAAATAAAATATAAAACAAAACAAAATAAAATAAATTTTTTTAAAGCTAAAAGCTAGTATAACAACATCTACTGGGTTCTTCACAGCACGCTAACACTTCCTAACTAATTTGATGAAGACAGTTATTTTTTCATATATTTTTATTGTATATACGAAAAGTGAGTTAGCATGTGCAACCCATATTTTTCATTAAACGGGAAATAATAAAAAATAATCTATTGGCTTAAACTTTTCAAATACTTCTGCAGAGTAATTTCCAATTCTGGCAACCATGAGAGGCAGTTTTAATTGCAGCTGCCTGGGCCCCATTCTCACTTCACTTGCATTTCCACTTCACCTGCAAGGCCCATACTTCAGCATCTCTGAAGTCCCACAGCTGGTCCTGGTGTAGAGTCACTGCACCAGGATATGCGAGGCAGTTACATGGAGGGGGACCCCTGCGTCCTGACAGTGCCTTGTGCAATGCCTTGGCCCTCTTTCCTGTCGCAGAACTAGGCACTCATTTTTTGACAAATACAAATTCCATTGTCTATGATGACAGCTCATACCAATAAGCTCACTTTCAGGAAGAAAAAACAAAAACTCTCCTCAATTCTGAACTTTCTCTAACTTTCTAATTTTTTTACTATACAGATAAAATATCTTCATGGAAGTGCATAAAATATCTTCATATACTTGAGCATATTCCTCTCTGAACCCCACAACCATCCCTCCCCCTCTCATTAGCTCCCTTCCCCTTTTTGTCATCACTTCCCCTTTTATGTCATTAGTACATACATAAGTGACTCAGATAAAATTTGGTTCACAATCCCAGGACACTAACACAGTGCGCCTATTTCTTCTCGGACTTAGAGCAGGCCTAGATTAAACACGGAGCCTCTCTGCAGATGGTAACTACAGAGGAAACGGGAAATACAAAAACCAAATGAAACAGGGTCAACTGAACAGTAAGGAATTTGACCTGATGAAGGAACAAGAGTAGCCAGAGCTGGTGGAAACCAACTCATCTTCTAGCCTCTCAAGAACGATGCTGTTGAACAGGCTTGGAGGGCGATTCCAGCAACTCTGGCAGGGCAGTCACTGAGCTCAGCCTGGTGTTAGGCTCAAGATGTTACAGGGGAAAATGCTGAAGAGTTTTTAAGTAATGTAATTTTCAACAAGAAGAATTTGTGGTAGTTCCAGTGCCCACAGATTAATTCTAGCCAGATGCTTTTCCGATTTTTTAAATTTATTTTTAGCCTAGCACATGGCTTCAGTGAAAAACAAAAATGATAGATAGACACACATGTCATCACACACACAGTGTGAAAATAGAAACTGGAGTATTTTGTGCATAGTACTTTTTAGGAAAGCAAGAAAATGCTCTCTCTCTCTCTCTCTCTCTCTCTCTCTCTCTCACACACACACACACACACACACACACAGACTGAGATTATAAAGGCAGTAGCAGGTTGTGTGGGTGAGTGTGCAGAACCAGATGAGAGGAGACTCTATCCCATCTGCATTGTGAGAATTGCTGAATTGATGACCAAACACAAATCTCAAATCTTCATTATTCATTTACTTGAAGTTACTGTAGGACAAAGTCACCCTCCTGTCATGGGAAATAGAAGGCAGGGTGCCCTGGCGAATCCAGTCTTCCTGGGAGGACATCCCAGAGACCTAGGGTTCTATAATGAAGTCACTCACAGTGATTCCCACCCATATCACATACAGCAGAACTGGAGGACAAAAAGTTTACTGAGAAGCAATAAGCTAAGATCAACTTACTGGAGACGTGGTTAATCGAAGGATAGTGCCATTCTTTATTTCATTGCGATTCTAGAAGAGATGAAAGAAAAACTTTGGTAAATCTCCAAGTAGAAGCTTGATGAAGAGAACAAAAGCAAATATAACCAAGTCCATTCTATACAATAAACATGCTTACAGTGCCATTTATTTTGATTTGTTTAATTTTAATTATTTCTACAAGATTAACTCAAAGAATAGGAATATGGGAACTCAAAATATCAATTCGAATTAAAAAAAATCTTTACAAATCTATTTAAAAATATGGCCTAGGAACTCTACACCTGATAGAATTGAAAATTTATGTCCACACAAAATTTGCACAGTAATAGTCATAGAAATACTTATAAATCTAAAATTAGTTGTGGTAAGAGTCATACAGCTTCATAAACTGAAACCATCACATTGAGCTTATATAAAAATAGTTAATTTTTGTTCTGAGAAGCCTATTAATAAAACTGTGAATTTTAAAAAGGTTTCTTGGCATTGGCTTGCTTCCTGTGCATATTACCTGGAAGTTGGGAACAGTGTGAATGAGCTGATCCCAGTCCAGTCTGTGCCCACTTGAAAGCCTATGAGGTGAGAGTTCCGAAGCCTCACTTGACATCCTTAGCTCTGATGGCTGAATTTCACCGCCCTTGTTTTTGTTTTGTTTTGTTTTTTGGGTTTTTTGTTTGTTTGTTTGTTTCCTCCATACTTCATCAAGCTCAGCCTTCAGGAGATGGTGGCCTAGCAGGGCTCACCCTGGCTACAACCCCACAGGAGCCCTGAGGCCAGAAGACTCACTTTCTGAATCCATTGAAACAAGCCACAGACTAGGACCCAGCAGGTGCACAGAGGTGGTAGGAAATATCTCAATGCAATATCAAAGGTACATCTATCATTTTTCCCTTCAGCCAATTCTTACTAGTTACCAGATGATAAATTTTCTACAAGGAACTAGCTGACAGGGCAGGCTTCAGCCTCTCTCCCAAAGAAAACTACATCTGGATATTTCACACTGAGTGCAGGCAGGCCTGAAACCAATCCCTTACGGACAAAAGTTCAACATGGGTCTTTCAGTGTAGGGCATCCCAGAAACTCTGGAGGGAGGCAGCTCTTCATTACCAGAGGGGCAAACAGGGGCCCAAGGACCACTGAGCAGGGTGGCTATGAACAGCAATGTGGATTCAAGTCATTTTAAACTCAGATTCTATAATCCCATGAGAACTGAAGGGAAAGACAGTAAACAGTAATTGCTGAGTGTTAAGGAAACTAAATGTAGGAAGTACCTCTTCCGTGCTCAGCTTTGAAACACACTGAGAATCAGAAGATAGAGAACCAAATGGGAGAAAATATTTGCAAACTATACATCAGAAAAAGAGCAGCTACCCAGAATACATAAAGAGCTTGAGAACTCAAAAAAAAAATAATAATAATAATAGCAACAACAATCCAATTTGAAAAAGGGCAATAGACACTTCAAAAGAAGACATAAAAAGGCAAGAAGTGTGCCAAAAAATGCTCAATACCACAAATGATCAGAGAAATGTAAATCCAAACCCCAATGATTTGTCACGTATGAGTGACTGCTGTAAGAATGGCTATTATCAAAAAAACCGAAGGGCTGGAGAACACCACACAGCTGGCAGGAATGTAAGTTAGCACAGCTATTGTGGAAAACAGTACAGAGGTTCCTCAAAAACTTAGACGAATAATTACCGTACCATCTATCAATGCATGCTTGGGTAAGTAACCAAAGAAAACCAAACCATTATATGGAAGACACACTCAAACTTAGATTTATACTATAGTACTATTCACAATAGCCTAATTGGAAACAATGAAATGATGACTAGATACAGAAATGCCATTTACACCTGTGAAAACCAAGAATCCTATAATTTGGGACAACATAGATGGAGCCAAACTCACTATGCTAAGTGAAATATGCTAGGCACAGAAAGACGAATACCACATGACCTCATCCACATGTGAAATATAGAAAAGTTGGCCTTGCAGGAGTTGGGAGTGGAATGATGGTTGGCCTCTAGGTTCTACATGCACCTGCATACACATGTGCACCAACATGAACACATACAAAGACACATACAAAGAAATAAATTGTTCACACAATGTATACGTGTATCAAAACACTATGCGGTACCAATAAATATGTGCAATTGTTATGTTTTTGTGTGTCAGTTAAAATAATTAATTCAAAATTTACAGAAAGAAAAACAGACCAGTAAGACTCTCTACCACATTTAGGATAAATATTCTGCATTTCAAGATAATGATGCCTTAGCAAACAAACCTCATGCCAGCTCTTCAAAAATAAAGAGGAGGAAAGGGGCAGAAAGAACATTTCTGCAGGGAAATGTTGGGCCTTAATACGGTGTAGGAGAAGAGTGTCAAGTGGCCCCAGGAAAGCAGCTACCAGTGCTGTCATATTTCCCCACACCCCTTGTTACTGTCTGTACTAGCCCCTGACGTTCACAGGCATCTCCACGGGACGTCCGTGTTTCTTTGTAAGCCTAGCTCATGTACTCAGCCTCTGTGGGGACTGGATAATGGGATGTTGTGGAAGAATGCCAGTGTTGTCCTATCTTCCACTCTGAAAGTTGTTTTCCTCAGGATGCCAAAAGTCTACTAAGACATTCAGAATTGCTGTCTGGTCAAAAATTCAAACAGTTCCCTTTCTATTGTTTAGGAAAGACAACGGAGGCCCTGAGGGAAAGAGGATGCTACTATCTCAGGCATCCTGGTCTTTAGTGGGCTGGCAGCTCCAGGGTTCCTCATTCAAGCTGGGTCTCTCCTCCTCTCTCCATCTTTGTCTGCTTTGCCTCTCTCAGCTGGGAGAAGCCCCTGACTTTAGAGGTCTCCTCACAAGCTAACACTGTTCTTCAGATACATTGTTTAATCATCAGAGAGTGACTCTCATGTAAACCTGACCCCCCCCCCATACACCCTTTAGACTGTCATGTGCCCTTTTGTTTGTTTTTCATATTTTTAGACTAATAAAGCAACTGAGGGCCCCCCCCCATACACACCTTAGACTGTCATGTGTCCATTTGCTTGATTTTCATACTTTTAGACTAATGAAGCAACTGAGGGCAGTATCTGACATATTGGTTGCTAAGCTACAATGCCTGTAGACTGGAAACTACAGATCTGACATTTAGGAAGGAATGGGAAAAATACCTAAAGTAAATGCTGAACCTCCAATGAGCTAGGAAATGAGTCAGAGAAGTAAGGGAGAGGGGAAGGAAGGATAAAGAAGCTCAGGTCGCCACCTGCAGTAAAAGGACATTTCCCACAACTGATGTGTGGCTGGCCCTTAAGAGATGATGTGTATCCGTCCGACTGTAGCTGTGCACTTCACCTCTAGCCAGTGAAGGTGAGATCTGTGGTATCTTTCCTGATTTTTTTCATGCCTAGTTGTTACACTGTTCTTTAATGGTTTCAGTTTGCACAGCAGTCTGATATCCTGTTACCAAGTCTGAAAACTGGAAAATGTCAAAAACAAAGAACAAGACCAATAGTAAGAGACTTAAGTTCCTATCTGTGATCTATACTCACAGATCTGAAGGCCTAACCCACAGTGAATGTTCTGCTCTCTTGCTATCTATAGTAAAATCTGGGTTAGAAGGAGTGTGCAAGAGGGAGTTGGCAGTTTCCAGCAGCCCAGAGTCTCCTAAGGCCCAGCAAGTCTGAGTCAAAAAACAGAAGGAGATGGCCTATCCCCTTTGATGTTTTAATCATGGCCCAAAGACAAAAATAAAGAACATTATGTTTTTCTGGACACAAACGTTTGTCTTTGAAGGAACAGGACACAATTCAGTGTCTACTATTGCTCAAAAACTGGGATGCGCCCGGGCCCAGGCCCAGGATGTAAACTTTAAGTAGAACCTACTTCACATTGCTGTCCCTCTAATACCTTAAGATGTTATCTACTTGTATTTTTTTTCAAAAGTGATGGGAGGTGACTATGACAACACTGAAGTAAGTGTAGGCACCAACAAAGGCACAGTGTGGGAACCAGGGGACAAGGTCAAGTGCAGCTTAAATCTCACAGGGCAGGTGCTGTGCTGGAGAACAACAATGGGATAAGGATGCTGGACCAGCAGTGGTCTGGAAGGTAGAATGGACTAAGAGGAAGGAAGTTCCAGCTTGGCCCTCAATTACCTTCAGTTTCTTTATCAGCAGAAACTGGGCAAGAGGCCCAGTGTCAAAGGTCAATTCCCTTCTATTTTATTTTCAATAGTAAAGAGGAAATATTTAAGACTCTTAAGCAGGCTTAGTGATATGATGAAGGAATTTTAGGGAAATGAATCTGTCAGATGTAGTGAATTAGAATGGGAGGAGGGAGAGTTCAGGAAACCAAGTCAGGGGCAGAATACATATGCAACTGCACAGGTTCAAACCTTTCAGATGCAGGCCTGGAACATCTCCCGGTATTAAAGTAAACAATCCAGGAGATAAAGCTAAGATCCCAAAAGTGAAGAGGTAGAAAGCTGCATGACAAAAATCATATGCCTTCTCTTCCATCTATGGCATAAAGGACAGTGAACAGGGACACATTTTTGGTGGATGATTCTGTCATATTTGACAAAGGCTTTAAAAATGTTGAAATTCAACTTCCATTCAGTTTTTTATCTTACAGAAACATCAGAGATGTAAGTAATGATTGATAAGAGATGTCTGCATGCCAATGTTTATATCAGAGAAAGTAACTGAAATCCAACCTGAGGATCCAAGTCATTTGAGTCTCTCAACTCAAAACCCACTGATCTGGCTCTGCTTTGTGGCACCCAAGCTGGACCCTGATGTGAATACGAAGCTTCACCAGTAGAGGGCACTGAAGAATCTCCTCAAGCAGAATAATTTGATGTGGATGGCCTTAGGTCTTGCACCAGCCGGGTCCTACTCCTCCCTCGGAAGCAGCTCTGTCAACCGAACCTTAAGGTAATGGAGACACTTCTATAGCCTAGCACAGGTCAACTGGTCAAATTTCCTTCCTCTGTCCACTTTGTGAATGGCAGGCAAATAGT